CCTCGACCTAGCAGAATTTGATGTTCTGATCGCAATGCCACTGTCTGTTTGACATTTGGATGTCATTTGACCCTTCAAGTGATGTGTGATGCCAAGGCGCATATCGCTTTATTCATCAGTTTGGGTCCTTTCTCGCGCGGTTTGAGGTATAGGGGTCAACAAATAGGGATGAATATTTTGCAATATGACAATAAAAAAGTACTAAATTTATCAACCTTCTCTTGCTGCATCATTTTGCAGCATTAATGAAACTCCAATTGGTTTAATGATGACCAGGAATAATAAACACAAACAGAAACACTTAAAAAAACTACTCAAATTTACACCATGCACACTATTACATTAGATGGAGGAAATTTCCCATGGAACAGTCAAACAGATATTAATTCATAGTATTAATAAGGGTGAGTCAAGTAATTGCCTACTCGCCTATGAGCACAAGCATGTTTAAGCAAGGTCATGGAACCCACATACCTTCCAGGCAAGCACCAATACTCAAGTGCACCCAAGGAAGTGCCTTGCGTGAAAGCATGAAGCAGTGCGGAGAGCTACATGCCTTGATTTGAATAAAATGGGTGCTAATATGTCAAATGTTTAAGATCAACTAGTTTTTAAATGATAATATCTTTACATGGAATGATGAACAAAGCATAAAGATTTCAAGCAACAAGCATATTCCCTTGGAAATAAGTTGATCAAATCTAGTTCAAGAATTCAAGCTCTAGATTAATAAATCGTTCAGAAAAAGTGACTTATGATATTAAGAATATTGCAAAAGATGTGCTTGGAATTTCAAAGGGAAAAACTCCTAGTAGTAAAAATAGTTGGTGGTCGAATCCAAATGTGCAAGAAAATATAAAAATAAGAAGATTTGTTATAAAAATTAGTTTAGATGTAAAAATTCTGATAATTGGGAAAGTTATAAAGAAGCTCGTAAGGAATCTAAGAAAGCTATTTACGATGAAAAGGCATAGCTTTTAATGATTTATATAATACATTAAATACTGAGGGAAAAAGATATATGTATAAGTTAGCCAAATAAAGAGATAGAAGTAGTACGGATTTAGTTCAAGTGAAGTGTATTAAGGATGAAGATCAAAAAGTACTTTTCTTAGAAGATGATATTCAACAAAGGTGGATGATGTATTTTGCTAAACTTTTTAATGAAGAATGTGAAAATACGATTTACTTTAGTGACTTTATCACCCTAAATGAAAATAAAGATTTTTGTTTTTATCGACGTATAAGTAAAACCGAAGTTAGAGAGGCTTTTAAAAAAATGAAGTGTGGAAAAGCTGTTGGACCTGATGATATTCCAATAGAGATGTGGAAATGCTTGGGAGATGAAGGAATTTCTTGGCTTACTAAACTTTTTAATACTATTTTGAAGACTAAAAAGATGCTAGATAAGTGGAGAATGAGTGTGTTAATTCATATTTTTAAGAATAAAGGTGATGCACAGGAGTGTGTGAATTATAGAGGAATTAAGTTAATGTGTCATACTTTAAAATTATGGGAGCGAGTTATAGAGCATAGGTTGCGGCGTGATACTAATGTTTCTCAAAATCAATTTGGATTCATGCCGGGTAGGTCGACTATGGAAGCCATACATTTATTAAGAGGTTTGATGGAAAAATATAGAGGAAATAAGGAGGATCTACATATGATATTTATTGATTTAGAAAAAAGCATATGATAAAGTTCCAAGAGAAGTGCTATGGAGAGTTCTTGATAAGAAAGGAGTTAATAATGTTTATATTCAAATCATTAAAGATATGTATACAAGAGCTATTACTTGTGTACAAACACAAGGTGGATTGACCAAGTCTTTCCCTATTTCGGTTGGGTTACATCAAGGATCAGCCTTAAGCCCATATCTATTTGCTTAAGTCATGGATGTTCTCGCTAGACATTTGCAAAAGGATGTACCTTATGGTATGCTTTTTTAGCTGATGATATTCTTCTTGTTGATAAGATAGAGAGGGAGTTGAAGTAAACTCGAATTATAGAGATCAACTTTTTAGAGTCTAAAGATTTTTGCTTGAGTTAGATCTAAAACTGAATATATGGAGTGTAATTTTAGTAGCAATAGACCTAGTGATGTGATTGTGATTTTGGGCGATCAAGTCATTAATAAGAGTACACGTTTTAGATATCTTGGATCTATTATTCAGAGTGATGGAGAAATTGATGGGGATATTATCAGCAGAATTCAAGTTGGATGGTTGAAGTGGAGGAATGCATCGGGCCTTATTGTGCGATAGAAAAGTCCCCCTCAAACTTAAGGGAAATTCTTAAAGATGGTGGTGATACCTGCAATGCTTTATGGTGCCAAATATTTGGCCATTAAAAGAGAAGCATAATACTAAGTTAAGTTGTTGCGAGAGATGAGGATGCTTAGGGTGGATGAGTGGCTTGGACCCTTAAGAGATAGGATACGGAAATTAGCATTATACGTGAAAAGGTTGGAGTAGCTCCAGTCGAAGATAGATTAGAAGAGAGTCACCTTAGATGGTTTGGTCACATTAAATGGAGGTCTTCCGATGACTCGGTTAGGAAAGTTGAGGTATTAAATTTGACTTATGTTAAGAAAGTTAGAGGTCGACCTAAAAAGACTTTGTTAGAAAATATTAGAAATGATCTTTCTTTATTAGATTTAAATGAGAATTTGACTTTTAACTGGACACAATGGCGAAAAAGGATTCATGTAGCAGACCCCACGTAGTGGGACAAAGGCTTTATGTTGTTGTTGTTGTATTAATAAATCGTTTAGAGGAAGTGGATAAATACAAGAAAATAGAGTAAGAGATGGAGTACTATAAATTAACCATAATGAAAGGCGCATGAATAATGAGAAGATGAAAATTGTGATACAGAGTAGCATAGAAAATATTAGATGACTATGGTATAGGTAGAGAACTAGAGACAGAGAAGAAGGGAATTGAAGAGAGATGAATGAACTCCTTAAAGGAATGCAACAACAAGAGAAAGATTGAAAAAGAGAGAATTTTAAAAGGGATGCCACAACAAAATTCTGATCACAAATCATCTTATTCAATTCAATGAAGCACTACATGGCATAACTCCCCCTATTGAAGAAATAGAGTTATAGATAAAATTGAAATCAAACATCTCCAAAAACTATCCAAAATGGGTAAAAACAATCAAATAAATCAATATTAAAATAACTAAAGTTAATTACTAATTTTAATTACTACATAAGATCTATTCCTCCAGTTGCAAGATAATGTACTTTGAAGAGCTGAAATGCAGTTGGAGAGTAAATTGGAGGTCTTCAATTGTAGTATAAAGCTGGCAAAATTTATCCCTATGAGAAGGGAGAAAATCAAAAAGTTTATTCTGAAGATGAGGTGATGAATGGGAAATGCATATGGAAGAAAAGAGATTAAGGATATAAACATCATTAAGAAAATAATATTGAGAAAAGATTCATTTCATTTATCCTCAAGAACATGACCAAATCTCTAATAAGAAACAGCAGGAAGCCTTCTGAAGTATTCTTGCACACAACTAAACTAACTCAAATCTGACAAACTGGAGTCTTTCTTTTTTAAATCTTGGTCTATGTATTGGTTGGGTTGGATTTAACCCAACCAAGTTGTTTTGGGTGTTTTGGATCACTAGCAACTTATATGAGTGTGATGTATCTTTAGCAACAAGATGTGGCAAATATGGAAAGGATTTCTTAAGTGCAAGCAATTATTGAAGAAAAAGATTAGGGTGATGTGGAAGATCGACTGTGGATGTGAGTGCAACCAGGTGAGAGTTTGAAAGATGAGGTAGTCAAGGGATGTAACATGTAACTAATGAGAGAGGAAATAGATAATGTACACGCAAAAGAGTGTGAAAGTTCATTGGGTGAAGGGAGAAGCACAGTGGTGAACCATGTAGGCACAAAATGGACAAGCAAGCAATTGCACGATAAAGAGAGAATTTTGAATGCACAAATGGACGCCTCAAAGGGAGGAGGTGATACACATGACTTCTTTTCATTTTTATATATGTTTCGATATGTGGGCTCTAAAGATTTATGCCCTAGCTCTATTGAGAGAGTTCTGGTTGTTCCAAATGAACTTTTCAAAACATAAATTAAGTTGTATATAAGACACTTCCTAGATATTTCACCCTCATTTTGCCAAGGCTTTATAATATGGTTTCAAGTTTCTCATAGAAGTATGTCTTTATAGTTAATTACCCCTTTCAGTGACAAGAGAAAACATTCAATTAAAGCTAGTCATTAGATGCTAAGTGCATAGTGCATAGTAGCAACAAATTTATGTTAGGGTTGAAAATTTTATCATAACCTAAAGAGAATTGTAGGTGGAATGATGATGAACCCGATAAAAGTCTCATTATTCCATCATCTGAGCTCGGGTTGTCGAGGATTCAGATCTTCTTAATTAGCAGTGATAATTGACGCAACTTGATCAAATGATCTTTGTTGATAGCGATAGCATGCTTTGTCCAAGGAAATCTTTTAAATATAGGGAGAATGATTACCTAAAGGAATTATGAGCTCTAGTCATGACTGTAATTAAAATGTGTTATTTTACGGCGAAAGAACCAACTCAAAGGCTACGGTTACGCCTGTTTATCTATGATGTCATTTAGCAACAAATACATTGATTAAACGACACATGCTAGGTATTTACAAGCAAAAGAGAGTGATGCGCTTGACAAAAATTTGATTTTTTGTTGATTAAAATTATTTTATAATCTATCATCATTAACAGATAGTTGTGATGGGTGGATGAATTTTGCTTTAAATTTTAGGAGGTAAATATCACTTATGCGTTTTTATACTTTATATTTTTAAAGTTTTTTATATTTTGTTGAGATGTTCCTAGAAGTGAATTTTGTTCTATTACATTTCTCTGAAAGCAATGATGAATATCAAAATTGATTTGGCATCACATAGCTTTCTCTAGCATGACTAGTTTAAGGTAAATCAGAAGAGGATTAAGTGAACAAGAAATCACCTCAAAATTTGAGGACACAGTGATAGTAGATGGTTGATTGTTTCTAGAAATTTCAGGATCGGAAGAAATAACAGATCCCTTCACAGCTTCCCTGAAAACAAAAGATAAGACTTAATAAGTAGGATGCAAAAAAGATAAAACTTGAAAATATTATGCATCTGATACTGCCATGCTACAGCTCAAGGAAACCACATACCTCTCATTCATAATTTGCAGGATAGGATAAAATGGGCCAGCAAGCATTGCCAAAAATCGAATGTTAGAATCAGAAGCGTCTGTGAAAGTACTAAGCTCTGTCTACATTAAGAAGAAGTATGTATGCATGGCCATCAGTCATAAAATTAAAAACTATTGTGCAACAATTATAGAAGAAAGATCATGAGTGTACCTCAAGATGTGGAAGAAAAATGAGCAGCCGAACAGCTATATCTTGAAGCAACTATGAAATACACAGCATATTAGAAATAGCAGCATATCAAACAAAATGAACAGAGCATAAGAACACAAAAGCACAAGAGGATGTGGAAGAGGTACCAAGGGAAGTGGTGTTGCCAGGGTATGTCAAATTATGCATATGATAATTACCTGGAGATGTATATCATGAGCATCCTGTTTGTGTGATAAAATATGTGGTAGCAAATAATTAATAACAGGTTGGAGCTCTGGTTCCAGTCCTTTCACGGATACGCCAATAAGCTGGCAGAAGATATTCAAGAATCCAAATTGATTAAACAGCAAGTTCATTGAAACAAAACAACAGGAACTATAAGCAGACATTCACCATAAAAACCACCTGCTGAGATCTATCGTTAGTTTAATAGCAGAAGGAACAGAGAAGTATAAGCACCAAGAACTCATGTGATAATTAATCAACAGAGGTCATCATGTCAGAGCATTTAATGATGTAACTTGAAAAATGAACAATTATGCTAGGAAAACATTGGAAGTGGATTCTAAGAGATTTATAACAGCTATCTCAATAATACTAGGTTCACGTATCTATGAGCTCCAGTATACAGAGAAAAACTATATTCACTCCTATAGTGCACTGTGAAAACTACAAAATGAACATCGAGACCTTCAATCATTATCTGCCCTAGTGGAAAATTCTAAGAACCAATATTTTATCAAGTTGTTTTATCAAACATCGAGCATCAATTAAAAAGAAAAAAAGTGTTAGGGCTCAGTATCGTCACAAAATTAAAAACCCTGTTTTACTCTAAACAAAATCAAGGATGCTCAAGGTTACACGAAATCATGAAAATGTTTCAGATACGACAAAAAATTAAAAAGAAGAACAGCGTAGGAACACAAATATAGGGCTAATTTTCTTATTTCTCCTTCAATAATAAAGTAAGATATAATTGATTACTATTCGAGAGTTAGATCAGCTCTCCAACAAACCCTAGAAGCCGCTATGAACTCACAACAAATCCTAGGAAAATTAACTCAGCAAATATCATACCCTAAACCAAATACAAACTTCCCCTTAAATAGCTCTATTACACAATAGCACAATTAGAATCTTCATAATCAGCATAAACATAATTTAAAAAACCTTTCTAAATAAATAGAACATTTCTAATACACATAAACATAATTTAGAAATTCTTCCTAAACAATTAAACATGATTTAGGAAACTTTCCTAAACAATTAAATATATTTTAGAAAACATTCCTAAACAATTAAACAATTCCTAAAAAGCATAAATACAATTAGAAAAATTTTTTAAACAACTCCCCCTTGATTAGGAACATTCCAAAACAATTTTTCTTACTTAGGAAACTTTCCTAAATAAATCCCTCTTAATTAGGAACCTTCCTCGATAGCTCCCCACTTCTTGTATGTGCCCCGTATTGAATCTTGATTTGGTTGTTAAAACTAAACTAATGTCCCAAGGCTAACCAAGAGGGGAGGGAATTGGTAATTTAAAAAATTTCTCTTGGATTTAAAATTTGAAAGTCGTTGATTCTCGAAGCAAGTTAATTAAAATTTCAAACTAACTTTTCAACCACAGAAAATTAACTTGCAGTAAATAAATGCGGAAATTTAAAAGACAAATATTTATAGTGGTTTGGTCAAAAACGGCCTACATCCACTCCCTAAAGACTCCCTCTTCAGTTATTGCACTATTACCAAAGTGTCTCTCATTTTTCCCCCACAGTAAGGCGGAGAAGCCTTTACAAAACCTCTATTCCACCAATCCCCGGTGTGGCAGAGAACCATCGTCCTTTCACACTCTCCAAGTGTAGGCAGAGAACCGTCGTCATTTTACACTCTCCAAGTGTCGGCAGAGAACCGTCATCCTTTCACACTCTCCAGATGTCGGCAGAGAACCGTCGTCTGTTCACACTCTCCAAGTGTCTGCAAAGAACTGGATCTTCTTCAAAAATCTTCTCACGAACAATCTAGAAAGAAAAGAGGAAGAGTGATAACCAAAATTACAAAGAGATCCTTACCTTTAAGTAACCTTGTGAACCCTTCACATTCCACTTGCAAGAAATCTCTCTCAAACACTCTCTCACACTCTCTCTTTAAAATGCCCTTTAAAAAACATGAAGACAAGACCTTTTATGGTCAATTTTAGTGGACCTTTTATATAAAAGATACAAAAAATCGTTCAGAAAATTGAAATTTTCAATTTTGAACATACACAAACATACAGTACTATCAGAGTTCGTACGTACGAATAGTTCAAAAATTGTTGCGTACGAACCTGCTGTGAATCGGTACGAATTAGTTCGTACATGATCATCGTCCGGTACAAAACCAGTTCGTCCGATACAAACAGTTAGAAAATTTTCACATTCGTCGGGACAAAATGTCAGGACGAAAAGGGACCTCAGAATTTTGTACTCTGAAAGGCATGTACGAATGGTGATCGAACAGTACGATCCATACTTAGAAAAAATATTTTTTGAGCGAAAGGGGACCCGTCCATTTCATACTCTGGAAGGCATGTACGAACTGGGTTCGTACAGTACGATCCATACTTTGAAAAAATATTTTTGAGCGAAAGAGAACCCGTCCATTTCGTACTCTGGAATGCATATACGAACTGGGTTCGTACAATACGATCCATACTTAGAAAAATTTTCATTTATGTTCGTTTGACTGTACGTCGGAAAAATAACTGAACAAATTGTTCCGAACGAAGTTCATTCGTACAGTACAATTAGTTTAAATATTGTGAATTTTAAACTCTCCCCCGTTTGTGTGTTTAGTTACTCAATTACAATCACTCTCTCAGATACAAGAAAATAAAAAATACAAAATTTAATTACAATAAACTCTAAACTGATCTTAATTTGAAGTCTTCAACAATCCAGAGTATGATTTCTCTGAAATGTTAGTACACATAATAGCAAAATAATTCTAACAAAATATATTAGAAGAAATAATATTTGAAATCATTAAAAACATACAAGTTATAAGAATATGAAAAAACAAGAATTAAATAGCAACTATATCAAAAATCTCCTCATTTTAGATGATGGCAAAACAATTATTATTTGAATAAAATTGAATATCATAAATTTCTCCTTAACTCCTCCTAAATGAATAAACAGTAAATATAAGGGAATTTCTTTAAAAACAAATCAATTTTTTTTAAAATTTTTCATAAATGACAAAACACAAAAGAATAAACAGCCAAAAAACAATCAAACACAAACAATATTTTATTTCTCCCCCTTTTGACAATAATAAAAAGAAGGAACAATGAAAAGTTGAAATAAAATAAGTCATACAATAAACCTTTAATAATTGATCTTGAAAGATATTGAACTATAATTGTAATAACAAGATTAATGTCTATTAGATAACAATAAAGATTCAAAACATTTAAATTAAAATATAACATAGACAATAAAAATAGATCAAGGTCATGAAGCATTCTAGACAATAAGATAAAGAGAATTATTACAAAAAAAAAATGAAATGAAAATTAGATAATTTCAATTTTTAATATAAAACATAATTGAAAATTAGATTGATTTAAATTTGAAGATTAAAAGATAGAGGAAAGAACATCTTCAATTGGCAACATTGCGCATCTTTTCAAATATTTTTGTCACACTTTATGCATCTTTAATTTTGTGCTTCTTTTTAATTTGTGAATCATTGCGCATTCTTTTGATTTTTTGTACACAATGTACATTTCTTTTTGAAACCCTTTTACATTATACATTTCCTTTTGAAACCATTTTTTTAAATAATCTTTCCAAAATCAATAATCTATTAACTTAAATTTTTCTAATTACAAAAATAAATATATTGAAAAGAGATAAATAATAATAAGGCATCAAAATAATAATAATAATAATAATTAAATTATGTATGCCTAAAAAGAACTTGAGATTGATAGTCTTAACTTGATCGAGTTATAAATTAACTTAAATTTTTGAAAAATTAGATTTCATAATAAAATTAATTTTTATATTGCAGTTTTAATTTATAACACTTTTTAGATCAATTGAGACATGATTAACATATAGGCAAACTAATATTTCATACAACGAATAAAAGCAACTAACGAAAATAAGATATTTTATTGATACCAATTTAAAGATGAAATACATTAAAGTACAATTGATATCGAATCATAACAAGGACAACAAAACATCAACATAAAAGATAAATAAAGATAAGTACACAAAGCATCGAAAACATCACTAACATCAATATATCTCAAAAGACTGGCAAAGACAACACACAAGAAGTACATCTAGAAATCTGAAGTGTCCTGATCTGGAGGATGCTGATTGAAGACAGAAAAATAGCTATTCATCATAGCTATGTTAGTGTTCATAGATTCGAAATGTCCTCGAATCCAACCCATGTGGTGCTGGTGTTGGGCATCCAGCTGGTTAAGGTGAGTCTGAATTTGATCAAAATGACTCTCTAATCGGTCAAAGCGCTGAATCATCTCCTGAAAGTTAGATCCCTGAGCAGGTGCAAGCGCAGGTGCTGGTGCTCCCCTCTCTCCCTCGATATCTTCACTTGTATTGTCATCTTTCCCAAAAAATGCTCGAAACGAAGCATCAGTGAAGTAGATTGACATTTCAAATAGAGGCTCAAGATGAACAAGATTATACTTCTCTAAGATATAGGTCACTAGATGTCCTAAAGCAATATTATTCTTCCTCTTATAAGATGCATGCCCAATTTCAGAAAGGCCGTGAATATAATCAAGAATAAGTTGGGCTTCATCTATTGATTGTCCAATCATGATAAGATAGGTAACAGCAGACAGAAGAGTAATGTTAATGCGATCACTAGCCTAAGGTAATTATTGAAATTCTAAGGACATGCTGAATGATCCTTGTGATCCTAGGCAAATGACCTATACTTGAGCAATCCCTCTAAGAACTTGTTATTTCAGACCAGTCAAAATCAAATTTAGAGGTCAATGTGTGTGCTCTAATTCCTTGAGTTCTTAATTGCAGAAAGATTCCTAGATCTTCCTTCATGATTTCTACCCGTTTCTTTAGAACATATGATCTTATCCTACTCTCATCCTCACTAAAAGTCATGTTTGTCAAGTAGTGAATGGTTTCTTTATTATAGGCATGGATTAAAGTCAGAATGAAAGCAAATTAGGTTGAGACAAAAAGATGCATTACTTGAAAGTGGATATCTTCTTGAAGTAAGAGTCTAGAAGGAATAATTTTAGCAGAGACAAACCTAAGGAAAT